AATAGCTATTATGGGTTATTTCCCCTGGTAGACAAGCCCCACATCTTAAAACCAAAATAAATTGGCCCTAAAATTGCCTTTTCTGTACCACTGGGTTGCCATTTCTTTGTCATCTTCTAACTTTACTGCAGGAAGTTCTTATTTTAACAAAACCATGTGTTTCTCTGATACAGTCCTCATATAAATCACCCACATAGGTGAGCAAAGACTAGAATCGAGATCCTTCTTATCCAAATGGATAGACTTATAACTTTTAACCCCTAGACTAAAGGAGATTTGTCATCGTTGGCAGCATTATCCTTGTCCTTTCTGTGGAGCAGCCACTAGACGACACCATCACAAGCTCAAGACACAAAGCGTATTTTACTGTTACTTTCATTTATTTTTATAAAGGTACTGCAGTTACTTTCTGTGTGTCAATAGGCAGATGTTCTCATCCTTTTAGAAGACCAGTCTTAAGATTTAGGGTGCCCTCAGTAATGCTTGCAAACCTAGTTGTGAAACAACACTAAGAGCGTTGCATCATGATGTTTCATGTGTGTATGGTGAGGCAATGCCACCACACTCCTGCCTTCTCATGGTCCTGCCTCCCACAGTACATACAGACATGTTTCCCACGCCCTCCAAATATCTCCTCTCAGCTATAATTAGCATCCACAGTTGCTGGCAAGTTACCTTTGTAACTCAGACTCAGGCCCTTATCTGTGCCTTCCCCAGTACATCACCTTTCCTGTCCCCTTCATTCCTTATGAACTGTATCTGAAAACATATAGCAGCATGAATAAAATCAAAATAAAGTTGCATAGCCCTAAAGAAATGCATGTTTTCTTGTGCCTTTCTCTTCCTTTTACCATTTCTTTATTTCCTTCTCTGACTGTCCTTTCGCTTTCATTCTTTTTCTTTTATATTCGTGTCATTTCTCTGTTCTGCCCCCCACCTTTTGTTATGTTTCTACTTTTGTTTTCTTTCCCTAGTTCCCTTTTCTCTGTTTCCCCATATCTCCCAGTTCCTATGTAATCTCCCCACTCCCTTTTTTCCCTTTACTTCAGGTCTACCTACAACCTGTCCCAAGTCTTTCTCTTCCTTTGGTCTCTCCTCACGTTCTTCCCACTAAAGATATCCTTTACAAAATCTTCCCTCCCTCCTCTGACACTATTTATCATGATGTCTCTTCTGTCATGTCTATCATGACAACTCTCACTCATAATAGCTCTCTTCCCATTCCAGGACACTATCTTCTCAACCTCTCTTCCTGGACTCACATTCCTATGTTCTCTTTACCCTTCCCCCCATCGCCCAACCCCTTAGATATCTATCTATACTTTCTCCTTCTCTCCCCCTCTAATCTCTCTCTTTCTCACTCTCTTTTTCTCATCTCAAGTTATTCCCCAATTTTTGGTTCTTTTGTGTGTTTTTTGTGTGTGTCTTCTTTACCTGCCGTGTATTTTTAGATGACAGAATTGGGTGCCTCATGTAACGACCTTAGTTTGGTCCTGGTTCTAGACCAGTATTTTTCAGTTATCACAATTAAATAATTATTTTTTTCATGCTGAACTGTACATGCTCTCTTGGAGCTTGCTCCAGACCTTTGTGCTTCATCCATCATTAGTAAATTAACTGAGAATCACAGACAATAACACGCTTGCATTGTCAATGGCAAAGTCTCATCACCTCCCTTTCCCCACCACATTAATTTTACAATGTACATCAAGCAATCTGAGCAGCGAAAGACAATACCAAGTATGCAGGAAGTTAATAACTTCTGAAAATCCATTGTTTAAATGAATATGTCTCCTATTGTAAAGAGTTTTGAATGGAAAGGGAAAATAAAATATATAGAGAGGAAAAAAAATTCCTGAGGTTGATGGTAATTACATTAGTTCTCATGGAAAACAAGATTTGTTCTTTCTGTTTTCCAGTCCATTGCACTCTGAAAAGCCCTCTGCAAAGACAAATAGCAGGGTTACATTGAACAGTTTAGATTCAATTTGAACCATTGTGAAATTCACGAGTTAACAAACTGGAGCCAGAGGGGAAATGTGGTTTTTCAAGGTTTCTCTGAATGGACATCCTTGTAAGAGGTTGTTTAATGTCTTTGGATTTAAAAAAATGCAGCTTTACTAATCAAACAAAAAGAGAACTTGTCCCCTCTATAGCTGTGTTGGAAAGGAGAAACTAACTTTGACCCACAGTCGGAGCCTACACATTTTTTCCCCTGTAATTTTATTGCACTGCCTTTCCTTCCCTTACCCAGCCCTGCATTCACTAATCCTGCTTTCACTGTTACATTTCTGATTGTCAATTGGACAAAGAAAACAGATGCTGTCCAGACTGTTATTGAGCTAAAAATGGTATGGGCTTTGTTTCGTTTATGTCCTTGCGAGCAGCATTGTGAAGATGTGCGTTTGTCAAGTTTAGGTGAACGCTATATATCTTACTTATGTATCTATTAGTAGTGGGTTTGAATTGTTAATGTTCTTTGTGGTGTTATGTTCTGAAGATGTCAATTCCTGATGTGATATACTCTGTAATTGTTACATTGCTGGACTTACTGTTTGTGCTTAAACCTAGACAGTGTCAGGAGGTAAAGGGCCAGATTCTCACACTGTACACTCCATTCTCACACTGTACACTCCATTC